TGTGGGTTCGGCGGGAGTCGGGGGGGTTGGTGTGTCCGCGGGAGCCAGTGGGGTTGGTGTGTCCGCAGGAGTCAGTGGGGTTGGTGTGTCCATGGAAGCCGGTGGGGTTGGTGTGTCCGCGGGAGCCGGTGGGGTTGGTGTGTCCGCGGGAGCCTGTGGGGTTGGTGTGTCCCAGCTGGGGGATGAAGGCAATGGCAGTAATTTTCAGCAAAGGACGGTTAATTTTTTAAGCTTTCTTAACACAGACATTTACTTTTCTTTGGCTTTATTCTGTGTTACAGTCTCAACTGACATAACAATACTAGCAAGTCCATTCTATATTGCCAGGTTTTGGAATTTTTCTGCCTTTGTATTACATCATTTCCTCAGCTGATACCAGCTAAGGCAACAAAAGCTGTTTTCCGTTGGCAGAAGTTCACAAGTGTTTCACCAAAGGCTGTGCTGGCGAAGTGATTAGTGATGCAGAGGTCTATCTTTTCCCATCTGATTTAGCGTAGGGGTTTTTCTCCAGAGGAATAGTATATTATAAACCAGGTATAATTTTGTGAATGTTACCGGAAGATTGACCTGGGCGAAGGATTTCATGAGAAAAACCTGTAAAAGCAAAAATTTCTTATCATAGAATTATGTAAATCCTACTCTTCTAAATTTTTTTGTTCTGTTATATTCTGGCAGCATTTATTGGGCAAATTGAATGATCTTTTAACTCAAGGATTAGAGATCTCTTTTGAGATTCTGGCTTTGAACGCCACTACTAAAATGGGACTAAGAAAATAATGTAGAATTTCATGTTTTAATCTCTGATCACTCTTCAGTACATTTTTTTTCCTTTGTTTTTTTTGTTGGTTTTTTTTTATGTGTGGGGAATTTATATCTGCAGCTTGTAGATTTCTTGGCTGAACAAATAAGTTTAACATTTTATTTTTCTTTTTCTTTTTTTTCTTTTTATAACAGGAAAAAAAATAATCAGTCTGAGTATTCAGTCAGTCGCAACTTACAAGACAATTTCTAATGTTATTGGATATTTAAAAGGAACTGTATTTCCTGGTAAGTAACCCGTTATCGTTTGTATCGATTATTTGTTTCATGATGGCTGGGAGTGATAGCTGGAATCAGGGTTCTTTTTTGCCAGATAATGCACTAATGTGGAGGAAGCAGAACACCTTTGTTGTAGTCATTTTGTGATATGATTAATGACAAAAGAGAACATAAGGGTTAAACAGAGAATAAGCCCAAGGGAATATTATAGTTAACACTAAGCGTATTTTTACACCACAAGCAGGAATTACACATAGACCATCGAGAATATTGTTATTTTAGACCAGTTATCTACGTTGGTGGTTTTAATTTCAAGATGTACTGTACTGCATTATTTGAATTAATATGCAAGCTGTCTATACAACTTTAAAAAACGTTTTGATTTTTTTTTTCTAGTGTTAGCAGACTTTTGAGATAAATAAAACTCTATGCTTCAAGTCCAGATCTTCCCTGCATAATTCAAGTGTCTCACTGAGACCAAGGAGTTAGGGCAGCGTGGTCTCTGGCTTAGTTAAGAATCTAATATCAAATGTGATTATAGTGTACAAAAACCTGTGACTAAGTTCTTAATCACACTTGCCACAACCTTATTTTGTGTTACAATCATGCCTTAAGCTAGTTTTATACAAGTCTATGAATAATAATTACTGTTCTGTATGTCTAAGAATTAAACAATGAGATGCTAAGTGCAACTGTGACATAAACCACAAACCCCCTCCCTCCTTTGATGCTGGATGTAGATAATACAATAATCAGGACAGCATAGGAAGGAAGATGGTTTTGAGCTTACTCTGGCTCCAAGTGAATTTGCCTGAAAGCTGAAGGATTTCTGCAACAAGAATGAACACTATTGCTGGTTGCTTACCTAGTGCAGCAGACCAGTTCCTAATGTATAGGTGGCATCATCATCAAAACATCATCACATTTGCCTTGATGAATACTCTTTTATTAGGTTCAGGAGAAAGGCTGCAAATTTGTCTACAGTCCCTTAGGAGGTGGGCCAGTCACTTCATATATTAAGTGGTGGAACGAAGGAGGTGGAGAAGACTTGAGTGTATTCCCGTTAGCGAAATAATTACTCAGTTTGGTGTGTGCTGAATGCTGTACTTTTCACCAGAACATTTTTTTTTTTTTAAACAAGACGGAAAACAATTAGCACAGTGAATTTAATTTCAGTAAAGGATTTCATTTGAAGTTATTAGTCTGCTATTGCTAATGTTTTGCAAATAGCTGTTGTGGAATTTGAAAGGTAGAAACTGCCATGTTTAGACATACTTGACTACTGAATTGCGAGACAGAAGCAAGACAAATAATAAAAAGCATGCATCAGTTTCTGTTTATTAAATTCTTTATCTTCTCTGCACCTGAATCTTCCATCTTATTATTGCATTCTTAGTAAGAAGCTACTTTTTAGGAGTATGTCAGTATATGCTTAACTTTAAGATTTTAAGGATATATAATCAAGTGAAGTCAATAGCACTACCCAGGTGCCAACAGTTTGTCCTGTAAATGTCTTGCTGAACAAGGGCCCTAGCAACTGTCTTCTAGTGTAGGCACAAGTTCAGCATGTAGTGCACCATGGATAAAATTTTGTACAGTCAGTGGTAAACCCTCATTTGTTTCTCTACTCTTCTTGGTTGATACTACAGCCATGCCCAGCCATGCCCTGTCAACTAATATGAATACTTGATGTTTTCATGGCATTCATTCTCTGTTGTTTTGATGGAGTTTTGCTAGTTTCGTACACCTGAAATATTCACCTTTATGTTCCCAGAAATGCAGGAAGAAAGCAAAACTTATCTTCAGTGCTTAATGAAAGACTGCAGAGCATCACCAAGGGTGGATTTTTTTATTTTTTTCTTAAAGGCCTCCGAGCACATACACAGACAACCACATCTATGTAATGGTGATCTTATCTGACATTTGACCTGAGGAATAACACTGAGCGTCTGAAATCCAACCAAGATATTATAAGACCTAGAAGCAGAGGAAATATGATGGTAGCCTTTTAAAACCTGGAAACCAGAACACTGATTTTCTCTCTATTGGATATGGTTGACAATGGGACGTATAACAAGAGAAGACAGTATAAATTGTTGTCCAGCCCATCAGTACCCTGAACACTATCCCATATTATCATTTTCAAAAATATCTGATGGATATTTTTTTCTCTATCTGTAGTCTGTCCTCTCTCTTTTTTCTTACCATGTGATCTCTTTCTCTACATGCTTCAGCAAATGACTATGAGAAAGGACAGCTGCTGCCTCTGTAAGCATGACCATCCTTTCTCCTATGCTTTTCCTGTAGTCATTTGCTTCAAAGTATTGCCTCTGTTCAAGAGGGAGAGATGTGCGAAGATGAAGAACTTCAAAGGAGGCACCAGCTGTTATGTTTTACCCCTGTTTATTCAGCTGGCATCTCCTACGATAAGTTGCTGCTTGTAGCTGTCTTCTCCATCAAAATATCCTATACTATTTTACATAAGGTCTCTTTCCACTCCACTTCACATACACTGTTCACAGACTGAACAGAGATGATAATTCCGAGCAAACACTGATCTTGTCTGATCACCCTGTGTTAGTGGCACTTCCTCTAGGAACCTAGGAGCCTGTAAGGCCATTCATTTCTGTTCCTAGTTCCTAACATTGAGTGAGTTGAAAATCCTATGATTTTTCACTGTCAGTGCAACCTATAATTAAACATCTCATGATGCAACGCACAAGCTGCAAAATTATGTGATTTAGATTTTGTTAAATTACTGTGTACACTTAAATTTACATTTTGCATATCTGCTTTTAGAAAGAAATTTTAATCTACATACCTAGACACCCCTCAAGCAGTTGATTGAAAATGTTGTGTTACAGGTACATAAGAGATCCTCTGTAAAGAATTTTTGATTCCTTATAAAATAACAGTGCCATGTATTTTTGTGGACAAAACGGGTAAAAGTCCAGTTTGATAGAGAATGGGTTTGTAATCAAAGTACGTTAGTGTTCAGTTAAAATTGTTTCTAGGCAGCGGTCAATACAAAAAAATACTACAAAGGAGTAGATACTTAATTTTATAAGTGATATAAAATGTGGGCATTTTGCCACCTATGAGTTGCTACACTCCAGTGTACTGACAACAGTGAAGAATGAATCCCCTTGGATGCAGAAAGAATACTGCCAGAAAACCAGAACTTTTTCCAGTTTTTGGAACCCAAACGACGCCCAGAGATTTTTGTGGATTTGGCATCACTTGATAACTATTCTGCTGTTCTGTATTTATATCCTGAAGTACAGAAAGAGCACTTTTAAAAGTCTAGATCAGGACCAGAAAGAGGCTTCACTAAGTATCAGAACACAACCAGTAAGCAATCCTTCAAAGAGGCTTCAGTTGTGAATTCATCTCACACAGAAGGTGTAATAGTTTAATAAGTCATTTGGCGTAACTCTGCTTAGACTTCTTGACACCCATCACTCACATTAGTCATTCATGTTGTTTCATACCACATCATCCTTTTGGAATAACGTAAGGTTCTTTACACTAGTGAGTTAGTATTTAGATTATATATTAAGCTTCAAGAAATGGAGATTTCATTTAATTTCTCTGAAAAAAAAAATGTGAGTTTTTTTCTCAATAACCATAGGCATGTTATTTCAGGTTGAAACTTCTTGCTTTTCATTTTATAAAATACTTTCTTCCACTATCATCAAAATTACTAGGTCTGACTTAACCATTTCTGTATCATTCGTTATCTCTGTTCCTCTGTCATGTCTCCTCTCTAAACCTGCAACCCAGGTCTTTTCAATGTCTCCTTACATGGAAGTCCAAGTCCTGATATATAACCGTTCTGGTCACCAGCTTCTCAACTGCTGTTTCTGCAATGTCTTTTTTGAGATAGGGTGGTGCACTGAACACAGGCTTCCAGGTGAGGGAGTACTAATATTTTGTGTATTTTCTCTATGTTTCTCATTGTACTACCACATCTTTTATTTTCTTTTTTGGACACTAATATGTATTGAAGGTAGAGTTTCCTGCTTATTCATTGATGGGTTGTCATAACACTCTAATGTGAGCATGGAACTTTATTAGATTATCTATATGACAAAGTCCTGACTGTAAAAATGGTATATGTCAGATTTGTAAGAAGGGAAAATAATAAGCAAACAATGAAGGCAAGGACACAGGGGTTAAATGACATGTATTTATTTGTTAGTTCACTTTTAAGTAGTATTCACAGTTTTATGTATTTATGGTCGTCTTGCACATGATCATATAAATTTTTGTTGACGGCGTTGTGTTGTATTAATGACATTACAGACTACTAATACTGTTAATCTTTTCGGGTTTTTTTAAATTCTTTTAATGATAGTATCCAGAAGAAATAAGATTTGGTTGTCTGTCTTTTTTTTCACATTTCAGACAGATACGTCATCATTGGTAGTCATCACAACAGTCTGAATAGTTATGGCGGACAAGAATGGGCCAGTAGCACTGCTATCATCACAGCGTTTATACAAGCCTTGATGTTGAAGGTTAAGAGAGGCTGGAGACCTGAGCGGACCATTGTGTTCTGCTCATGGGGAGGAACATCTTTTGGGAATATTGGTTCATATGAATGGGCGGAGGTAAAATTATTTTAGAAGGACTTATTGCAGTTATAATTACTTTTGTTGAAAGCATGAAAACAATATGAAATTACCACATTGAAATTGTGGTTCGTTAACTGGTCTGTGATATCTGTCTGTGTACATTCATGTACTCTCTAGCAAACGCAGTGAAAACATCTATAGAGGCAGTTCCTGTGGAACAGCGCATGTGCAATAATGTGATGGCAAGTTGTTTCCGTAGCTGTGGAGGCTGCATATACAGCACCTTTTTGAGCCGATTCCCCTCCCTAATTCAGCAGTGGGCTGTAAAAGAGGACGTTGCCAGAGTTTGGTGGAGGGGTGGGAAACCTCAATAAAGACCTAGGCGCAGGAGTAGCTCTAGAGGGCTTTTTCTCCTTCTTGGGGGTTCAACAGTTACTAATTTTTAATTGAATAGATTTAGTGAGGGGAGAACTGAATGAGGAGCACACTGAATGAGAAAAAGAGAACTGCACTATGGTTTATATTAATTACATAAACATTTCAATGTCTCCATGGCTAGTGCTGATTCACTTTTCACGTATTTGTACTAAGGAGTTAGATACAATATGTCACAGACAATTCCTTGGGCTCTTACTTTCAACAGAATAGAAATCAGCTTATTGAAAGAAAATACCTCATCCAAGTATTGTTGACCATGTATGGTTATAGTGGACTTCAGTTGACAAATTAAAGGCATAGCTAGCAGAGAGGTTCATGGCTGCTGAATTAAACCAGTAGACAAAATGAAGAGTTAATTGTTTTTTATCATGTGTGAGAAGTGGCTAGCTCTCATTGAAGTTTCACACTTCCAACATGATTATTCTTCAAAAACAAGAAGGGGTGAAAAAATCAAATTGAAAAGATCCGGGCTGGAAGCAAAATTTGTTTAGTTCCACTTCAAGACAGCTTTACATCAGGTGTAATTGCATTACACCTCTTCTGTTCGATATAAAGAGCACTTCATGTAAAGAGTAACTCATTATTGAGAAGGCAAAAGGGATCTTTTTCAAAAAGAGATAATAATTGAAACACTATGTACGTACTATTTTTGTAGTTTAAAAATAATAAAATGAAAACACTGGGTAATTCAAATCAATGCAATTCAAATCTGAATTTGGTCTCTAAAAATTTGAGTATGTTTAACTATTGATAATGATTGCTTTTAAAGTTTGTCTTCTGTCAGGCATTAAGTTTAAAAGGCCATCACGTTGTTTCACAGTATGTAATGTTTTCATTTTTGGCCTTACAAGTGTAGTCATTTTTAATTCCTCCCAGGCCTGTTTGCATTTTGTTGAGATGACGTGTGAAATACCCTTTGAAGTTCTTAACAGCATATTGTAAGAAGCAGTAGTTAAGTAATACTTAGAAAATCAGAGGACAAAAACGTAGGGTGCAGTTTTTCCCTAGAAGGAACTGAAAGAACAAAACAAGTCTTTATTATAATGTTGCGTAGTAATAACCATTGCTCTGCTTGTGTTGTAGGATCTCAAGAGAGTTCTTCAAAGAAATGTTGTGGCTTATGTTAGCCTCCATAACCCAGTCAGAGGCAACTCAACTTTACACCCTGTTGCATCCCCTTCTCTTCAGGAACTGGCAGCTGAGGTTAGAAATAAAATATTTTCTTTCACCTGTGGTTTATGAGGTTATGTGGTTAACCCCCTTGATGCTGATTGGTTTTACATAACTATAGGTGAAGGTTGCTTTGTTTAAGCATTTTGACCTCGCAAATATACAGGAACTGTTTTTACTAAGTAAGGAGGTTAATTTTTTTATTTAAAAAATTGCAAGGTGTATTAAAGAGGTTGGAAAGGAGAACTTATCTCAACAGCTCATTATACCAAGTCTCACTATACTTACATGCCCTGCAGCTTTTTCACCTTTTGGCATCTTTAAAGTCATATGTTTATTATTCTTTAGCACAAAGCACATTTTTCTCTTCCTAATCTGATCTTTCCAGACTGTTTCTCAATTTGCATTTAAACCTGTATATTTACCAGACGTGACACACAGAGAGAGTATTACTCTGACTATAATAAATACTGTCTAAAATAGCTATATCAGGTTCAGTGCTCAGCTTCGCCTTTGTAACTGGCCTACAGTCAGAATGTTCTGTAGTCATGCTGGTGTAAGTGCGCGTAGGCTTTAAACTAATGACCTTACTACTGTTTCTGAGGTTACTGAATCTATTAATATTTAAAATGAATTGAAAATATTATAAGGCACATTCTAAATGATAAAAACAGTTTAAAGCTATATGTATAAAATGGAGTTCAATCTGTCTTTCTTAAAATATGCTTTTTAGATGTGATTTTTTCCATAAATTTGCCAAGCTAATACTCATTAGGATATTCTGATGTTTCTTTGCATTGCCTTTAAAGCATTTGGTACTGAACACTGCTCAAAGTAGCATCTTGAATTAAATGGCGTTTAAATCTGATCTTGCTTGGCAATTGTTATCCAGCTAAGTAAAATTGTGTCAGTCAAATTGCTTCTTAGCAATGTTCTAGCAACTTCTGTTCAGTGATCAGGTGGTAATTTTCTCATGGAAAGGATCTGGTTTATTCTGTGTAAATAATGTGAAAAATAAAATGCAAAATAATTTCTTTTCAGGGAAAAAAAAGGCTGTTATTTATGGAAGGTTATTTATGTTGCTATATATGAGTCTACAGGTGTTATGGATACGTCGATTAAAATTTTATTGTAAGTTTTAGCTACAGTATTTGTAAAAAATACTATTCTGATAGGTTGCTAGCCTATTACTAGCCTATTGGTGTCTGAAGTCCTAGCTCCATGAAAACAGGTATTTTCCATTGAAAGGAATAAATTTATTACACTAGGTCCTTGAGCTATTTGGTTTTTTCTAGTTCTGTTTCTTTGACTTCACAATATGACCAGTGGCAGTGGTCTGTAAACTGTCTGGAGCTGTGCAGAAGACACTTTCTTTATTATCTGTTTATCACTTTAATAAGGTTTGATTCTTTTAATCTAATAAACACCATTACTAAGAGTGTTACAGTCATGCCTTCTATTTTGGAGAGAAAGCAAAGAAAGTCTCTTTTTCGCTTCTGCTTTATTTCTGTGGTGTATTTGGGTGTGATGTAATATTTTGTAGTTTTGTTGTAATAGCAATTGTATCCCATCCAGTAGTACAGATATAGCCTCTCTTAGCAGTCCTGCCTTGCATCAGTTAATTAGTTAACAGCCAGTAAAACAGGACTAGAACTTCATTTTTTTTTTCTTCCAGTAAGCACCCTCCATCTCACCTCAGATTCTTTAGTGGCTAAGGCTTTATTATTGACATTGTATCCATTCTGCATGTTTACCCTGAAGACCGGTTTAAAAAGAAAAGAACAAAATGCATGCGAGGTAATCTGTATAGTTTTATTTTTTGTAGGATAGTATTATTTATAATTAATGCAACTGTCATAAGGTTTGTGACGTTAAAAAGATTTATAGCAGTTATTGCTTCCAAATGCTGGCTAGATATCTGAATTCATGTCAAGTATGTTGACAGTGATGGAACAGCCCAGCACAGACCTTCATTTGTTCCCATGGGTACAGGAAGATTTTCTCTGGGACTGATCTGCTTAGAAAGAAAATTGATATTACCTCCAACACTTGGCCAAGAAGACAATGTAACTACAGATTACCTAGAAATTATGATAGTGCAAATGGGCGAAGGTGTGACTTTTTGGAGCTCATCTCGTCTTCAAGAGTGAGTCCGTTCACAGGAGGTTATGTTAACAGGTGCGGGTTGCAAAGAAGTGCTTAATAAGTCCAGTGAGAGACAAGGATCATTTTAATTTCTAAGAATCACCTATTTTCTCTGAATCACATTCTCTGAAATTAGGTTTGTTAGAACAGAAAAGAAGGTGAAACAGGAATTTAGAGTTAATAACATCAATCTGCTTTAAAACGAAAAGAGAAAATAGCCAGTCTTGTTTAGTTAGGTAAAAACTTTCAGGAATTTATGGATACGTGAAAGATACCGCGTCAAACTTCCATTTTTAGACCATAACAAAAGAGACTGGCTTGCATAATTTCTTCCTATTGCTAAATGGTGTTGAAACACTGTTTTGAGGAGAGGGAGACAGATCTGCTCACCATTTGCACTAAGGACAGAGTTGGGTTTTGTTCAGTGCTCACTGTTGTGCTAACATTGTGGACACTCCATCTCAGCAAAACAGAGGAAGGATGTTTTACTAGGGACAATTAACATTTGTTGCAAATGCCTACAAAGGTTAAATGTTAGGATTCTAGGGAAAACAATGAAAATCTGTAGTTCGTCCCGTGACAGAAAACTCGAGTAAAAAGCACACCAAATATGGAGCACTCCATGAATGCTACAAGGACCATAGCTTAAAGAGAACTGTGGAGAAATGGCAAACTAAGATAGGGAAAATGCATGCAACATTTACCTTCTGTGCTGTAAATATTTGGCTTTTCTAAAATAAAATTTTGGACACCTGCTAATCACTGCAGCTTCCAAAACACATTTTTTCGTAATTTCTGGAAACTGTGGGAAAAGTAGGGAAGAAGTTTTAGCTGAAATGTAGTTTGTATGAATATTGTAGACTTACCAGTAAAAAGAAAAATCACAAATCTGATGAGTTGTCTGCTACGTGAGGTTTGGTGGTCAGTTAGAGAATAGGATATGTGCTTGGCTAATTAACAGAGACCATGATTTCTTAAAGATGTTTTATGTAAAGGGATTACATCTTTATTTTAGTTGCAGGTTTTAAAAGGAAGCTACATAAGCAGTCTGCAAATAATAATTTTATGTGCCTGTCAGTGGGATTCAGTGGGATTCAGGTTGAAACACCAAATTACTTGAAGAAACTAATTTAAATATTTGGATTAATTAAGCAAAGAGGAATTCAAACAATTCTGAGACCTTGACACGTTTAATTCAAATCTTTTTTATATAACTATGCTAATTAGTGTCCACATTAACAAGAGGGAAATACTGCCAAGTTATATTTTTGCCTAGTATTATTTTGTAAGGAAAATGATTGTTAATTCACTTGCTCAGTTAGTGAATCATGATTTGTTGGCGGAGTGTCATTGGTAAATTGGGTTTGTTTGATGCTGGCATTCATTCTCTCTAAATAAGGCCATTAATGAATTTTTCTATAATTAACATTTCACAAGGAAAAAAGTTATTATGAAACATAAATTAATTGCTGTTTTCTTTTAACTGATTGTATGGCCATCACTTATCAGACTCCAGGTCTGCTGTTATTGTTGAACTCGAGAAAATTTACTGCTCCTTTCTCCTAAGGAAAAGAGCCATTTAAAGCTATTGGAGAAGGAGCTGAGCATTAAAAATGACTGCACCAAGTACTGTTCCATGCTATCAGTATTTGTTTCTGTTAATAGAGTAAAAAGAATAAAACATCTTTACATTTAAAGGTGGTGTTTCTGACATAAAACTATTTTTTCTTTTTGAAGTAGAACCAGAGATAAACTTCTGTATAGATGCTTACTGTTACCTTAATGTCAGCATTGATTCGCTTCTTCCAACTTCTGTGTTTCTCATTTGTTTTGTTTTACTCTCAGCATTTAATAATGGATCTCCAAGCCTCATATATCAGTAGGTTGTAAAGAAGAGAAAAAGCATTAAAATACTGTTTGAATTGCTTGTCGTATGCCATATAACACAAGATTATAGCTTCCCCATGAATTTTTAGTCTTTACCTATTACTGCTTTTAGTGTTATAATTGATTGCTGGTGTTACTTTTAATATTTGTGTTGAAAATCAAAAAAATCTCTTGAGGATCACAAGTTTATGCTGTGAACTCCTGTCTCAGGAGTTCGTAAGTTACATTAAAAGGATGCTGTTAATACAGACAATACTTCATTGCCAGCTCTATTAAATTCATTAAGATGCTGCTTCTTCAGTGTGAAAAGCAAAGTTTCATTTAGTGACGGATTTGATTTTGGAGTTGCAGCAGGTACTTTGCATATGCTAACGACGCTTTTATTTTGATAAAATATTGCTTTGTCCACTCTTGCTTATTTCTTCACTCTTCCTCCAAATGAAACAATTTTAATAGATAAATACTGATTCAGACAGTGGGGAATCATTTAAACCTACTGATACATTTTTATGTTATGAAAATGCTATTATTGTTAACCGTGAGGAAAAAGGTTGGTTAGCAAGGAAGAATGCAAGTGAACTAGTTTGTGTGCTGTGATCTTCCTGGAGATCTGCCCAAAGTCCTTTGTTTCTAATGGATCAAGCTTTCTGCTTCCGTGTCCTTCCTGTCTTTACAAAATTAAGATATTAAGTTCTTCGGCTAGAAGCATAAATGATATATATTTTCTTCAGTTTTGTTTTGAAATCTAATTGTGAACTTTGATAGCCTTTGTAGATAAAATTGAAGAAATCTTTACATTTTTTTATCTTTAAATGTAGTGCTAGAGCATGGAAGATTTCAGTAATTTCTTACCTGCTGTAGAACGGACTTTGGTTCTAGGCTTCTGTTGTCCTATCTGATTAAAACTGTCTAATGTAATAAGCTGTACTACATAATGGAATGATTTTTTTTCTTCCGGAGACTTTATTCAGACTACAGTGTTAGAAAAGATCACTTCAGTT